GAATAAATTTATTTCTATAAACGGCGGAGAGATGTAAATAATATTTAAACAGTTATATAATAGTTGTAACCACTCGAAACAAAGTATCTATATGGTGGTGCCCCGGTGACGTCACTACAGCCTATCATTACAAAAGTTTGACTTGCAGGTACCCAAACCCTAGTGGAAATTATGAAATTTTTTTTTTTTATTTAAATTTAAATTTATGAGATTACTGGGCCTCACTGAGACATACTCATGTGGAGGCCCAGGGTTATCTACTATACATTACACATTTGCATAAAAATTATAATTGACAGACATCTACAATATTTGTGTTTGAAATTAATATACTAATTATACAATAAAGGTAAAAACAAAAACCAAAACAGATAAAGTAAGTTATAGGTAGATTGGTACAAAATAATTCATGACGAAAATAATACTAATATTATAAATATAGACATGGAAGCAATAGGTAACATAAGATTCTGAATGATAATATGTGTGTGAATATAGTGGCATATTTTTAATCATATTTAGTGACGTCACATTCATACATTAACCAGTGTATGATATGTTTCTTAAACAATGGCAATGGCATGTTTGCTAAATAAGTTGGCATTGAATTGAAAATCTGGGTCCCTATGAAATCAAATACCATTCGACAGACGGTTTTTTTTGGCCAAAATTGAGAGTATTTATTTAGTGCGTACCTAGTATTGACACCATGGTTCAAAGGGAACAGTATATTGTGTTTTTTTATATACAAAATGCTTATTTTAAAGTACAGGTTTTTAATATTTAATACATTAAACTCTTTAAATATATTTTCGGTTGGATATCTACGGTCTTTTTTAATTGCAACTTTGATAATTGTGTTTTGACAGGTTTAAAGTAGGGAGAGAATATTATCATAGGCACCATAATAATTTGTATCCACCAAAAATTTATTGAAAAAAATATTTAGTGTTTACTATAATACAGGTAATATTATGTACTAGTATATTATGTTATTTTAAAATACGTTTTTCATTAAATAGTAATTTAATCTATCTATCTGAAATATTTGAATATATTTTAAATGAGTAATATTTTATTGTGTTGAATATTTTTTACAGATAGTTTTCTTTCTACTTTCAATAGAAGTTTCAAATTCAGTTCGTGTTTGACTCCTTACCAAGCAAGACGTATGTAGTGTTGTCGCAACTGCATTTTTATCCTCCTACAGAACTGTACAACGCTCAACGCTAAACCGGTAATATGTTTTTATATACTAATCATTACGATAAACTGCATCTCTAGTTAAAATAAAACATAAAAGCAACGGTGTGTATTCGTAATGAATAACACTCCGCCAAAAACATTGCGTTTAAATTCAAAAACTATTTAATATCATTTGTATTAAGAGGACGCATGTGTTGTTGTTGTTTCACATACGCGTAACATACCAAATTTACGCTCAGAAGTCACGTTTCATGACGTTAGCTTAAAAATTAGAATCAACCTATTATGAATCTTGATGGTAAGAACGTTATCTGTGTTTTGATGGAAGTGTTTTTACGATAATTCAGTTTTTAAGTGAGTTATGAGTGTATAATAAATTTACATAAAAAACTTAAAATCTGAATTATTGTAAAAAAAACTTCCATCAAAACACAGACCATCAAGTTTTATGAATCGCGGTAACAAAGTCCTAGGAAAAAAAGTCGGGGTAAAAAAGTCCGAGGCATAAAAAGTCCGGAATATTATATTATATACATAACAATATTTAAAATAATTAATTAAAAAAAATCGAAATAATTATTACACACAAATAAAATATACATAATATTATATTATAATGATAATGATATTTTAATTAAATTGATTATTAACCGAGGTATTAACTATATCGTCATATTATAAAATATTATATTTAAAAAAAAAATCAATGGTTATAATAATTAATAATGTAGTAAGCAATTTACTACGCAACAATTTAAGTCATCCTATTATATATTATTATATATATTTAGTATAGTATCCTGTAGTTGGGTATTAAATCAATGTAAAATTAATATAAAAACAATTCTCATTTTCTCAATTTTCACATTCACCGTTTATAATTCTATGGCAATTGTACAATATATAAAACCGAACGATTATCATAGTAGAAACTAGTAATATACGATGCCCAGAACAGATTATTGTTTCAACAAAATAATTAAAATTATTATTTCATAAAAGCGATAGTAATACTTAGAACAGATAAAATTGCAAAACGGTTTAAGCATGACAAGGTCGATGGCTACGTCCGGGAAGACTGAGAAACGGCTCTAATAGGCAAAGGGAGCGCGGACCAAACTATAAGAGGGACCCCGAGTCAGCCTGTAGGCCAGCGGTTCCCAACCTTTTATAAGCGTGACCCCAATATTTTAAATTTAACTTTTGGCGACCCCCCCAAAAAAAAAAATTCATAATTTATTGTAAACTCAACATTATTTTATTTATTATCATCAAATTGGTAAATATGTATATTTATGTATATTTTACAGCCTGCGACAGATCATTTAGATAATCTATATCAAATTATTTTTTCCTCGATCATTATAATTCTTATTATTAGAATATTTCAGGATTTTTTTATTTTTTTTTTTAATAATATGTAAATTGTAAGACGTATGTAATGATTTCGCGACCCGCCATAAAAACCTCCGCGACCCTAATTTGGGTCGCGACCTGAGGTTGGGAATCGCTGCTGTAGGCAGACGTGTACACTGTACACCCATCTGCACTGGCAGCACCTTCACGAGACACTGTGTAATTATATTGTCATTTGGACTTAGAATTATTTACTGAAGAACATTTCAATAAACAGTCTTTTAGCTAATTTGTCTACACTTATTTCAACGACTACCTATATCAACATCATCAACGAGGTCTTGCTACCTGCGTTGTTAATATACTAGTAGTCACGTGGGCTACCAGTATATTACAATAACTATGTACTTAGTATCATTACCTATATACAAATCGAAATAATATATTAAATTGAGTTTAACTATCGCCATATAAAATATATTATATTGAACGAAAAAAATTCAATGATAATAATGTTTATCTAGCATTATGACTTATCAGTTTAACTAACTAACTGTCGTCAAAAAATAATATTTAAAAAAAAAAAATTTAATTTTGTCTGGTAAATAATTTAGTTCATTTATATTAATACTAATTGGAAGTTTGATTGTGCATCACATAGTATTTTTCCTTTTATGTTTCGGACTTTTTGACCGATGTCTTTTTATACCTCGGACTTTTTTGCTAGGACTTTTTGGTAGTATACCAAGTTTTATAATAGGTTCACTCTAATTTTTAAGCTAACGGCATATAACGTGAACTACTGAATCGTAAATTTGGTATGTTACGCGTTTGTAGGACGGAGACAACACATATACGGGTGTAGCGTTATGTAGCGTAATTTGTAACCACCAAAACAAATTTTTAAACTACCAACATCCTCTCAAATAAAAGTTTCTATGTGGCGGTGCCGCGGTGACGTCACTACCATTACAGAAGTTCGACTTGAACTTAAATTTAGTGAAAATTTAAGTTGTAATATAGACTTGAATACAATTTTTTTAGATAACTAGTATTTACTGTTGCATAGTTGGAATTTTTAACTATGAGTCTTGCCACCGCACGGAGCCGTTTTTCCAAACTACCAATATTAACATTGTTTTTTGAAAAAATCTTTTTTTTTTAATTTTCACAGACAATTTATGATCCTTGAATTTAATTTCAAGTTTTTCGGCAGAGAAAAATATTTTCTATCTATAATAATAAAGAAAAAAAATTTTAATTTTCTGATGTAAATAAATAACTCAAAAAGAGTCAAAAAAATTTGAAAATTGTATGGTGTAAAAAAAAATATAATATAAACATTTGGTGAAAATGTCATGTGTCAATGGTTATATCTTTAGAAGTTAATAAAAATCATAATCGAGTGTGTCAAAAAATGGCTTTACGTAAAAATCTCAGTTTTCCATTTCAATTTTTTTTTTATTGTTCCCGACGCTTTAGAAAAATTTTAATTTATTACTATTTACTTTTTACCCCCCAAATTGCCAACTAGATTCACATTCCTACCAAAAAAGATGCTGAAGTAGAAAAATCGATAAACTTATATCCCCTTAAAAGGCGAACACCCAAAAAAATAAACACACACACTCGCACATTTTATGTGCTCTACGTTTCGACCTAGATAGAATCATTAAATTTGAGATACTGGATGGTGTAGTAGAAAAATTAAAAAGGACTACTCCAATTTTAAAATCAGTGGCAGTTTCAATAATTTCTCTACATCGTGATTACAGACAACATCAAATTCACTATGACTATACTATTAAATATTATTATAAATTATTACATTCATACCATATAGCAATATGGTATGAATATTACTAGCATTTGCTATATTATATTAAATTATTTTCAACAAATTTGTTTATTTTTGTGCTATTTATGTGTATTTTAATCCTCTGAATGCCGAATTAATTAATTATTCATACATTTAACATAGACGTTTTAATTAACAATATTGAAAAAAAAATAGAAAATTTCAATTTACTATAAATAGCCTTGCCACTGCACTAAAAATTAATAAAATGCAGGTTACAACAATTTTTTTGGTGATTACAAACGTTTAAAAATGATGTTATAATTATTTGACATTACATAATTGTAAATACATATATACATATAGCCATATAGGAAAAGGTTGGCTCAAGGCAAACTTCCTTCTAAAATAAATATATTTTAATTATAACACTCTGTAAATAATAAAACATAACATTAATTGTATATCCAAAATATAAGTTTTATCAATTGCCGTGTATATGGTATAGGTATACAAATTTTAAGTGAAGTGAAAAGATAATAATATAATTTATTATATTTTACTATTAGCTAAAAGGCATTAATACTCAACAAGAAATAAGAGAGTTGAACGTGTTGTGATCAAATCAATCATTATCAAAATGGAGCCTTTATTGCGAGAAGAACTGCCAACAATTGTAAGCAATGGTGCGTTCGGAAAAAATCTCAAATATGTGTCATTTGAATTGGACAAAGATCACGTTGGACAGGATCAGTACATGTCAACAATATTATTTGGTACAGTCACCACATCTGATGAATCACAACATCGTGTTGTGATCAAGTTAAAACTTCGAGATGAAAAGATGAGAATTCTGTTCCAAATCGACTTTCAATTCCACAACGAAATTACTATGTATGAAAGAATTATACCATTCTTATTTGAATGTCATCGCTCTATGGCGGGTGTCGGGGACTTACCAACATTGGCTCGATTTTTATACGGCCGTAATAAATGCGGTGAGTTTGTTGAAAAAGATTTAATAGTATTGGAGAACATCAATCCTCTGGGATTCCGATTGAGCAAAGACCGTCTGTTCATCGACTATAACCACCTCGTAATTGCCTTACAAGCATTAGCAAAGTGAGTAATAATATATCAAATAACTTTCTGTTTATCCTTGGACGTAGATTAGGTATTGAATTCTGACTGTAAGCAAACCTTAGTTACTTTAATTAAAAACGGAAGAAAACAATTTTTAAATATATACGACAAAAATAATAATAGGATTAAATGCTATGCAAATATAATTATAGGTAAATATTTCATTTGCTTTCAGGTTCCATGGGTTGTCATACACTGCAAAATACAAACACCCCGATCGATTTCAAGAAATCATTATGGATATCCGGGATACACAATTTGATGTAGATGGACAGTGGATATTTAAGAACAACGCATTAAGTAGATTCGGTAAGCGAGGAGTCGACCGACTGCTTGAACGTAGTGGTGACCTTTATCGGGAAAACGAGCACTTGCGTCGATTTAACGAAATCATTGGTGATGGAGACAACTCGTTAAGACGTGCGCTCGTTCCTCGAGAACCATTTTCCGTCTTGTGCCACGGGGACTTCAACCGGAACAATGTGGCGTTCCAATACGACGATGTGGGACATCCGGTCAATGTGTTGCTGTTTGATTTCGGAACGCCTCGTTATGGTTCACCGGCGTTAGATCTGTCGTTTTTTTTCTACATGAACACGACGAAAAACTTGCGTGAAAGTCGGTGGGATGACTTACTTAACGCGTATTGCTTGACTTTGGCGAAATCCGTACCGTCCGGCGTACGCGTTCCGAACAGGGCCGAACTGGACTCTGAAATGGCCACGTTTGCTTATTATGGCTTTGCACACTCATCATTTTTCTTACCCTATCAGTTAGAATCTAATGTCGTTGATAATGAAGGAATGGATGATGAAGAAACTTTGGAGTGGTTTTTACAGCAAGGTGGCGACATTGGGTCGGATCTAGTGGCCGAAATTGTCCAACACATCGTCGACATGGAGTACACGAACCTGTGACGTGGTTCTCGGTTTGTTTGGTTGTTTGATATAGATCACCATTATACTATATTATAAATCAATGCCGCTTTGCCGATTTGGTCCTTATATTTTATCCGTATTATATTATTAAGTCATTCATTATAATGTATCAATATTATTTTATTAAAACTAAATTTATAATTATTATGTACATAAATAATAATATTATGTATGTAAATAATAAATAATTTAACTATTGATTTTTTAACAAAAGGGATTAAAATAAATTAATATAATTCAATAATATATGTTGTTGTTTTCTCTTAGAAATGGGTTTTGATATTTTATAAAACAATACTTAGAACTATAGCTCTTCTTCTTTGTGTGTAAACTATGACAACATCTCACTAGAATCAAGCTTGCATGGCGTCTAGATCAAACTATTTAAATGTAGGTATTGTGAAAAAGTTGACATTATACAAATAAATGATAACAATTTGATGGCTTTCACTAATTTTATTCATTTATGTATATTATATGGCAATGTCCGGAAGTGAAATATTTCAGTCGCGGGTAGACAGCCAGCTTATTTCGTTTGAACAAGACCGGCTGCACACCAAACTCATAAGTTCACATCGTTCGTCCTGTACGTGCCGGCCACCGTCGACTTGTGTTCAAGTTCAAGCTCCCGAAACTCGAGCTGAAAAAAAATTGTGACTATGGTATTTTAATATTTTTCAAATGTCATTGTAACACTTGATTAATATCCTTGTACTAAATATTAGATCTTTTTAACCGCAAAATAATATTTTATTGACATTTATAAAAATAAAACCAAAAAAATTGGAAAACTGAAAATGTCTGTAAATAATATTAAACAAGTCAATATATTTTGAAAATTTGACTGTCTATAAAAAATGGTAATATAAGCTTTCAGTAAAAATGTCATGTATGTATCTACGGTAATTTGTTTTAGAGTTACACGAAAAACTAAAATCCATTTTGTCGAAAACTGCAAATTTTCTGAAAATTCCCGTTTTTCCTAGATTTTTTTTTGTTTTTTTCCGGTGCTTTTGAAATCTTCTGGGGTTTTAAATTTTGACCTCCGAATGCACCAATTAGATTCTCTTTACCATCAAACAAGTGACTGTTGAAGAAAATTTAAGCATTTTTACTGCCCGAAATGGTGAAGACAGACACAAAAATTAAAAAATTAAAGTACACACATCATTGTAAAATAAATACATTCATCGCTCCACTCAGAATCCAAAAAAATTTAAAACTATTTTCAGTTTATAAATACATAAAAGTTTTTCTTTTCATGGCTACCATTGGACATTTTAATAGAAGGTTCCCGACAAGTAGTTCTACCTCACTGTAATGTCACGCTATTTAAATTCATGAGATATTTTCAGTTGATATTATTATTTTTCTAATTATTAAATTTGATTATTTATACAAGTATACTAGGCTGACACATCGTCTCCGATCAGAATCGTTTTTCTTATTCAAAAATTTTCATTGAATTCAAATATAACATATACATTATAATGACATGCTCGACAGCTACTGTGAAGCAGAGAGGTAGCCATTTGTCCACCATTTTGTTAATAAGACTTAATAATAACATCACTGTATAAATATAATATTATTTATATTTAATTTGAGAGTCTTATAATATTATTGTAATTAGTAATTACCTATAGAAATCTATAATGATTCAATAATTGTAAATAAAGCAATACATATTAGCTAGACTGTATTTTATTTATAATAATTTAATGTAGAAATGTAGTTTTTAAGAACAAAATAATTATTCAATTTTAAATTTGATATATTTTGTCGAAATTTGATCTTTAAATGCTTATAAAAAAATATTGTACCTGTGTATATTTAATATTTTTCAACTGCTATTGTAACATTATGCCAGGAGCCTTGTATTAAATTTTTACATTTTTTGGTCCAATAAATAAAACTTTATTGATGTTCATAGAATAAAAAAATAAAATATGAAATTGTTTGTAAACAGCTCAAAACAAGTCAAAATATTTTGAAAATTTTATCAAGTATAAGAATTGATAAAATTAACATTTAGTGAAATTTTCATTTTAGATTCTGAGTGAAACAATGAATGTATTGATTTTACAATGATGTGTGTTTTTTTATTTTTTTATTTTTTATTTTTTTATTTTTTTTGTATCTGTGTACACGATAAGTAGTCGAAATAATGCTTCGATTTTCGACTTCAGTATCTTGTTCGATTGGAAAGTGAATATCGTTGGTGCATTGGGGAGGTCAAAATTTAAATTTCCCAGTAGTTTTCACAAGCGCCGGGAAAAACAACATAAAAATTAAGGAAAAATGTGATAATGTGATATGATTAATTTGGAATTTATTATAGGTCAATTTTTTTTTAATACCATAGATATGTATATAATTTGTATTAAACCTAGACTGACATACCGTCTTCGCTCAGAATCGTTTTTCTTATACAATGATATTGTATCATTGAATTCAAATTTAATAGCATCCATTATACAGTGACCCACTTGTAACCTACTGTACAGCAGAGCGACATCCACTTACCCACCTTTTTTATTTTTACTCAACAAATAAAGTTTTATTTACATTCATAGAAAAAAAAACTAATAAAATTGGAAACTGGAAATGTCCCTAAACAGTCCAAAATAAATGAAAATATTTTTAAAATTTTATCGTGCATAAAAAATACAAATATAAACAATCAGTGGAAATTTTATGTATCTACGGTCATTTGTTTTAAAGTTACAGCAAAAGCGAATGTCGATTTTGAGTAAAAATTCCCGTTTTTCCTTAATTTTTCTTTAGTTTTTCTTGGCGCTTTTGAAAATTACTTTGAATTTTAAATTTTGACCTTCCCAATGCACCAACAATATTCACTTTACAGTCGAATAAGATACTGAAGTTGAAGCATTATTTCGACTATTCATCGTGTACACAGGCAAAAAAAATAAAAATAAAACACACATCATTGTACAATCAATACATTCATTGTTCCACTCAGAATCTAAAATAAAAAATAATAACCATTATTTGCTTTATACGGCATGACTTATCAAACAACTTTTTAATCCATTATTCAGATTAATTTTAATTTTTCACTAACTATTAAAGGGACACCGAACTGCATATTATTAATTCTCGGTCTTACACATGTACGACGTACCAAATTTTCGTTCACCAGTTTCAATAGTGTATTGATATTAGAGAAGAATGAAATATTATCATACTTTTAAATAAGAACATAATCTGTGTTGTTTCGTTGGTTTTTTATGATATTATAATTTTTAAGTGAGTTATGAGTAGTGACCGGATATATGTGCAAATGTATTATTTGTATTGGAATAAGCTTTTTGAAATTTGATGAGAATTGTCTCCGATTTAGATCATTTATATTAAACTAACACTAATTGTAATTTTGCATATATTTCACCGTTTTTACCTATTAAATGCATTTTTAATGCATATTTGTAGTCTTATAGTACATATTATTATTTAAAGCACTTATATTTTTTTTCGTCGTATTTTAACGTTCACAGCCTCATAATATTGATAATATTACAACCAGTCTTTATTGCCAAAAGGAAAAAATAAGATGACATACTCATATGCGATATATAATATATAAATTATTATAATAATATAGATATATTCGTTATTTCCAACAGGGCCAAGCACGATTAATCAGTAAAGTTCAAGGAGATAGTTGCTGATGTAAAGGGGCACAATGGATCGTATACGGCGATTGGATCTTCTATCCCAGCCTCCATTCAATAAAATGTATGTTTTTGAAATATTTCATATTAATGAAATATATCAAAAAATTAATTTATATTTAAAACTATAGCAGAAAATACAGTTAACACCTTTACTTAGTTAAGTTGTAATTAAAAATGAAAAATATTATACAAATATTTCTTACATAGTACCTACATTATACAAATTACATAATAAATATCTACCTTATATATATATATATATCTTCTTTATATCATGTTAAGGAATTAAATATTGATAATCAGATTTCCGTCAGAGGACTCTAATCTGATACTAATCACGATAGAATATAGATTCTAATTTTTAGTGTTACTGCCATTTAATTACTGCAGATCATGTTATTTTCAAGGTGTGACTCTTACATCTAAATATATGCATAGTTGTATCCAATAACTTATGAAAAGATCATATTTTATTAAGTCAATTAAGTCCCGTATAATCATAAATGTATATTGTAAGCAATTACATTAAATTGATTTTTAAGTATTTTTTAAAATACTATATATATGTATACCTTATAGCTAAGTAGTGTTATTTACAATGTAACTTAATTCTATATTAGATAAATCATATGATTGATATACATAGTGGGCAAGCATATTTTTATAGTGTTTCATATTAATAAAAATTGAAATGAAACAGAAAACTCTGTGTCCTCACCCCGTATAATTCAAATCATTTGACGAACAAATAAAACATTATTTCAATAGGTACTGATAAATATTAGTCAAACCGTCTAAAATAAGAACATTTTAATTAGCACTTTCAGTATTCAATAATATTGAAATGACAACCAAATTTGTTTTGAGTTACGTCGATTGCCGTATATACATATTGTCAGTGAAGTGCAAAGATAATAATATGACCGAGGCCGGAGATCTAGCTCGTTTCGTTCGAACTGGAGCGACTTCACACCGAGCTGGATCAGTTCGCGTCGTGCGTCCTGTACGGCACGGCCACCGTCAACGACAGCGACGGTCGACGCCACGATCATCGGCTTGTGTTCAAGTACAAGCACCCGACACTCGAAAAGCGGATATTCTACAATAACGACAGTCAGTTCCACAACGAGACGCTGTTCTACGAACGTATAGCTCCGTTCCTGTTGGCTAGCCGCGGCTCACAGCGGAACGGAAACGTGACCGCTACACCGACCCTCTGCCGTTACGTTTACGGGCGCAATGATTGCGAAGAACAGGCACACCGGGACGTGATCGTCTTGG